TATCATTACAAAGATCACTAAACTGCTCAGATATAAATTCTCCTCCGTTGTCACTCCTAATAGATCTTATTCCGTTTTAGATTCATTCAGCACAGAGTGCACAAACATTTTGAATTTTGTAAAAGCTTCATCTTTTGAGGCAAGCAGATATACCCATGTAAACCTAGAAAAATCATCAACTAATACAAATGCATATGACTTTCCTCCAAGACTCTCCACATTTGTAGGTCCAAATAAGTCCATATGTATTAGTTCATATGATTGAGTGGTGGTAACATCCCTTTTTGACTTAAAACTCTTTTTGGCCAGCTTTCCGCTAACACATGCATCACAAAAGAATTTTGAATTGTCTTTCAGTCTAGGAATACCTCTGCCAGATTTAGTTTTGGAGAGTTTTGAAAGTTTTGAAAGACAGACATGTCCTAACTTTCTGTGCCACAGCATTTCTAGGTCAAGAGAAACAACTTGAAAACAGGTTTCATTGAAAGCTTCCAGACTTTTCAAGTTTACTACATACATGTTGTTTTTCTTAGTTCCACTGAACAGCATCTTGTTATCATTAATCCTAATAATTAGACAGGAATCAGCTTCAAATATTACTCTATTTTCAGCACAACACAGTTGACTAATGGAGAGAAGGTTATGCTTCAGACCTTTAACAAACATCACATTATTCACAACAGGAAATGGACTTTTACCAATAGTACCAGTTCCCATGATTATTCCTACTCTATCATCACCAAACACTACTTTACCTCCTTTCTTATAAGTAAGGGAAGAGAATAGTTCTTGTCTACCTGTCATGTGGTGGGAGCAACCACTATCCAAGAACCAAATGTTCTCATTTTCTCCCTGTTTCTGCAATCAATTAAACATTAGTGCATTTTGGTACCCAAAATGATTTATACACAAGAGGTTTCCTTAAATCATAGCAAAATTTTGCTAAATGACCTTGTCTTTTACAGTGAGAGCATGTATATATGGTGGGGTACTTTCTGACTATCCTAGTCTCAAAGTGCTTTCTTTGAGATCCAAACTCCTTTTTGAAATCAGTTCTGATTCCTTTCTCACTGTTTCTTACACTGTATCTTAAATCTGTTTTCTTGCATAAAGTACTGAGCTTGTGATTTTTATCAGTTAAGTAAAAAATCTGCTCATTAAGTTTAGCCTGACACTCATCTTGAAACTTAATAGTTCTTTTGAGATCATTTATTTCCTGTTTCATTGCCTGATTGTCTGTCATGAGCATGCAGTACCTACTTTTAAGCTTTCGCATTCATCTTGTAAATTTCTTAAAGCATGCAGAAATTCATTTTTTGACATGGGATGACCACTTCTTTCAGAGTCACTATCATTTATTACCTGATAGCTTGTTGGAAAGGTCTGATCATCACAGCTGGAAGAGTCTGAATCAACTTCTCCTTTTGAGGCGAATGCCATTTAGGCCAAGTTCTTTACTTCCTCTTCTTCTTCCGAACTGTAGTCACTCCATGATGCTGCAAGCGCCTTCTCTTTGGCTTTGTTGAGTGGACATCTGGATCGCATGTGACCTGTCTTTCCACACTTGTAACAGATTGTTAGATCTTTATCAACAAGAGACCTCTGGTCTCCCTTATACCTTTCCCTTCCTTCTGAGCTTTTGTCAGCAAACATTTGATTATGCCTTTCAGACATATGCTTGTTCATAGGCCCTTTATCAGTATGTTTTGAAACAGGTTTCTCTTCTCTATCTCGTCTATAATCTGAGTGTCTGTTTTCCGAGTTTCGAATGTCATTATAAGCTCTATTTGCTTGGAACTCCCTTTTCATTCTTAACATTCGATGAAATTTTCTGCTAACCAATGCAAATTCTCTTTCAAATTCTTCACTGATATCATATTCAAAATCACTCTCATATTCTTGAGCTTTAAATGCAATCACCTTTTTCCTCTTATTATCTTCCTTATTCATTTGTGTGATTACTTCTTCATGGCTTAGCAGGGATCCTACCAGCCTCTCAATAGATAGAGTATTAAGATCTTTTGCTTCTTCTATAGCTGTTCTTTTAGGAAGCCATTCTCTAGGGAGACTTCTTAGGATTTTTCTAACTAGGTCTTTTGTAGCAAATGTCTTTCCTAAGCCTTTCAACCTATTTATTAGATCATTGAATCTTTTATACATACTAGAAATAGATTCTCCTGAATTCATTTCAAACGATTCATATTCATTTAATAAAACATCAATTCGACTTTCCTTTACCTCAGATGTACCTTCGTGAGTAGTTTGCAATGACTCCCAAATTTCTTTGGCAGTTTCACACTGGGCAACCTGATTTCTTTCTTCAGGTGATAATGCTGAGAATAGAAGATGCATTGCCCTTGAGTCGAGTTGAGAGGATATCTTTTGCTCATCTTCCCATTTCTCTTCATCATCATCATCCATAGGAATTGGCCCCTTTCGAACAATGCTCCATAGATCACCATCAACTCCCCTTAAGTAAATCTTCATCCTCTTTTTCCAAACAGAGTAATCCGTCCCATCAAACCATGGAGGGTTTGTATTCGCAGAATAAGATGCAGGTGCCGATGAGGATCCAGCCATCTTACTGATCTTCTTTGGCGATAGTTAATCCAACAAAGAACCTGCTCTGATACCAATTGTGAAATCAGAGTGTGAATCAAGAGTGTATTTTGTAAAGACGATCACACTCGATAGAAACAGCCCTTTTGGAAATGGATAATTTTATTTATTTTAGATAACAGAAAACGAAAGAAAACACAAGAGCCAAGCCAACGAATTGGCTCTTTGAACAAGACACAAACTTCGCAAGAACAAATCACCCAGTACTACAACACTGTGATTTGTTCTACTGAAGTGAAACACGGACCCAAAGCAACAGAAGACACTTCACTATGTTTCTATTACAGACTGCCAAGTTTTAATGAAAGAAAGGAACCTACTATTTATACAAGGGAAGAAGATAACCGTTAGCTAAAGATGATGATCAAGGCTGTGATCATCATTAGTCTTTGTAGAGGCGGTGATGATCTTTGCGGGAGATGCGAGCTTCGAGAGAGATGTCTTCGTCTTCCAGAGCAAAGCGATAGTGGAAGAGAAGATCGAGAAGCGAACAGATCTGGATGATGGTCGGTTGTGGTAGTGAAACGTTGTCCCAAGCGAAAAAACGACAGAGGTTTGATTTTGTGAAGGCTTTGAAGGACGACGTCGTAAGTGGAAGATGAAGTGGCGTCGTTTTATCTACTTAAGCCGCACGTCACAATTCAACAACTTTCCCTTCGGAAATAGTTTTCTTGCCGTCGCCGCTGCATGGACGGGATCCTTCTCTGCCCTCTCTAAGGCAGATTTGACTTTATCCAGAGTGTAGACGCTTTGGTAGTTGAGGGAGGTGGAGGCAGAGGCGGCTGCTACCGTAGCGGTGGGTTTCTACTCTAGTCTGCTCTTGTCGAAGAGATTAAGCATGATTGTGGACGGCGACGGCTGTGCGTTAGCACTTGCGCCACCGAGACCGGAACCCTAACCCTAACACAGTGCGTGTTTCGCCTCGCTCTCTCTGGATAGTCCGAAATCCTATCCTTCACTGCCTTCTGAATTGGCTCCGCCGCTCGAGAATCGATTTTGAAATTCACGAGGAACTTCAACAACTCAGGTAAGCTAGGGTTGGGGAGGCGTTTCTTGGGGACGATTCGGAGATCGCCGCGGCGAATAAACACGCGATTCTTGCTGGTCTCTGGGTCTATCCAACGAGGAAGGTGGAAGGCGGCCTTGATGAGGAGGAACTCGCCGTCGTTGTCCCAGGCGCGAATGGAGAGGGAAGGAAAGTTGAGAGAAATTTCGAAGAGGAGGAAGACGACGAACCACTCATCCTCAATGTTGTCCCCGAACCGGAGCTTCCCGCTGTAGGGTCGCCGTCTCTCGGCGGCGGCATGGCGACCATTTCCGGTGGATTCTAGGTCTGTGCTGTTGGTGATCGAAGGAGGACGATGGCGAAGGCGGGATGAATGAGGTTAGGGCAAGGGATGCATTTTTTCCAAAATGATAAAAGGAAAATGATAATAGGTGGAAATTATAAAAAAAATTTAATTGAAAGTTGTTGATTTGGCAGTGATGTGGCGCGTTGACCGTTAGTCAACGAGTTTCACCATCCAAGTTAACGGTCAAACATTGGATTTGGACAATTTCGTTATTTTGATGTATAGTTTGGGCCAGGATGTTATAGATCGAAAAAATTGGTCAGAATCTTTATTATCATCAAGTTAAGCCATACAAATATATTATTATTTTTTAAGGAAAGAAAGTCATTATGTGCTTTGCTTCCCAAGTAGGGATGGCAATGGGTCGGGTTGGGGCGGGTTTTGTCAAACCCAAACCCAAACCATGGGTTTATCCGCCAATAAAACCCGGGGTAAAACCCGTTGGGTTTGAAAAACTCAAACCCAACCCAACCCGCTGGGTATCCGCGGGTTCATGGGTACCCGTGGGTTTTTGCGATAAAAAATTTACAATAACAAGTTTCTTTCAAAATAAAAGTTTAAAATCAATTTTCTCATACAAATTAATCATACAAAAAACACCTATCTAGAGCATACAAGCAAACCGCAAATGATCAATACAAATTGTTCAAAATTAAAGATACAATAAGATTAATTGAAAGCTTCTTCCTCGTCAACTAAGTTTCTTCACTCTCCACTTCATAATATCATCTTCATTCTAAACAATTAGAAAGAACAAATTATACATGTCTCCACAAAACATAAAGAATATTAGTTATTTAAGAAAGATATATTATTTAGAATATTAAATATACCGGGATAGTAATTATATATGTGTGAGCGGGTACCCATGAAGCGGGTTTATCTAAACTCAAACCCAACCCAACCCGGTAAATAATATAGCGGGTTTAAACCCGAATCCGGTTCAAAACCCGTCAACACGAATTTTACCCGCGTTGATCGGTTTGGGTCGGGTGGGTACCGTGGGTTCGGGTTTTGTTGCCATCCCTATTCCCAAGTAGACTAATAATTCCTCTTTTCTTTCCTAGTCTATCGAATTCAAGTCGGACTTCCCATCTGCTGCTCAGGGAGCTAGTCCGATTTGATCTGAGGCAAGCCAGTGAGAGAGGGGTCGGGGGAAAGATTGGAAAGGGCAAAGATGAAAGTTGCAGGTCCATTTGTCGCCATGGTGATGGCGGAATGTGCCCAAGTTGGGCTGATGATTGTGAGCAAAGAGGCCATGTCGCAAGGGATGAGCAGCTTCATCTTCGTCCTTTACTCCAACTCCCTCGCCTGTCTTGTCCTCCTTCCAGCCTCTTTAATCTACCACAGGTTCGAACGAAATTCAACTAACCAACCCTGCTCAATCCGAACATTTTATGTCACTTCAAAATTGTTCAGTACTTGCTGATTTTCTGGCTTCTTTCTTCAAATTTTCCCCAGATCAGGGAGGCCTCCACTTACCTGGTCAATCATCAGCGGATTCTTCGTGCTGGGTCTATTTGGGTTCGTTAACTGACTCTATTTCTATAGTGGGTTTTGTCAAAGTATGTTGCTTTTGGTGGATTCTGATGGCTTTTCTGAGTTCGATTTGAATTGGGGTTTCTTCAGTTTTCTGGCACAGGCTTTTGGGTATACTGGGATTAACCTAAGTTCTCCGACACTAGCCACGGCCATACTAAACCTTGTCCCCGGCTTTACCTTCATTCTTGCTGTTACTTTCAGGTTATTACCTTTATCATCCATTTGAAAATTCATGGGCTATAGCAGTCGAATGAACTGTTACTGCTGAGAAATGGGGCTAAGTTTATCAGACAGCACGTTCCAGGTTGGAGAAGCTTGATTGGAAAGCCACTGGCAGCATAGCTAAAGTTGTGGGAACTGTTGTATCAATGGCTGGGGCATTCACAATGACATTTTACAAGGGTACTCACTTAGTACACTCTCCTCCCGGATTCACTAACCGATTGCTCTCGCAGCAGTCCGATTGGGTCCTCGCAGGATCATTTCTTGGAATGGATTGTGTTGTGACTTCTGCCTTTGTTATCATACAGGTTAGGCAATTTTCTAAACTACAATGACAAGAAAAGGCTGGAATAAATTACCAAAGGATAGAATGATGTTTCTCAGTTGTGTATGTTGATGTGTTGCAGGCATTGATCCTCAAGAAATATCCAGCGGAGCTGATTCTGGTATTTTTCTACTGTTTCTTTGTTGCCATTCTGTCCATAATAGTTTGTCTGGTGGCGGAACGAGACATCACTGCTTGGACCCTGAAACCTAGCATAAGATGGACGGCGGTTCTCTATTCAGTAAGTTTAGTTTGTCTCACTGTTGTTGGACAATGTCTCTGTCCTTCCACCTCCATCAACCTGAAAAATTCTATATGACAAACTGCTGTAGGGAATTTTCGGATCTGCCTTCCAAGTCGGCATTGGTACATGGTGTCTGTGCAGGACCGGGCCAGTTTTCGTTTCAATGTTCAAACCCATCGGGATAGTGATTGCTGCTGCAGTTGGTGTCATTTGCTTCGGGGATACTCTGTACCTCGGCAGGTGGGATTTCCATTTGGTCAACTTTTGTCAAAGTTCAATTCCCTGTCATTCTTGTACATTTTGAATGACTAGTCTACTAGTACTGATGTTGCTGTTGCTGCTACTACAACTCACATCAGCTCTTGTGAATGGGTTTATGTAGTTTGATTGGAGCTGCTGTGATTGTTGTTGGGTTCTATTTGGTGATATGGGGCAAAGCTCAAGAAGTAGATGTAGATGGAGCTAGGACTGTCAGAGGGACATCTGAGTCAAGCAGCCAAAAGGCCCCTCTCCTGCCAAGTTATCAGGAAGAAAACTAGAAGTTATTTGCAGAAAACAAGAGAGGATTCTGTTGGACCAAAGCTTGATATTGGAAGGCTTGACCTTCAATTTGAAGTGTAAAGAAAAATTATTTTATGTGCTTATTAGTTATTATTGCTTGAACTTTCCCAAAGCTAAGCAATTGAAATTTCGACTGCCATTGAATTATTAGTTATTAGTGCCCCTTATAATAAATAAGTTGGTAGCCACATTTGGTTATGGAATTATTAAATTAGGTTATGTTTAGTCACTAGAAAAAATTAATATCAATTTTGGTCACTTGAATTATTAAAACAGGTCACATTTAGTCACTTTCATGTTAGCCTCCGTCCACTGTTTCTTACTCGGTGTTAGTAAATGGACACAACACTGAGAGTTTCAACCCTTCTAGAGGGCTCAGACAAGGTGATCCATTATCACCATATCTATTTCTATTATGTGCTGAAGGCTTAACAACCCTTATCAAGAAAGCTGAGAAGGAAGGCAGACTACATGGAATCCAAATGAGAAAGAAGGCTCCTAATATTTCTCATCTTCTGTTTGCATACGACAGTGTGGTGTTTGGAAGGGCGACAACTCAGGAGTGTGATGAACTTAAAAGAATTCTGAAGTGTTATGCCACTGAGTCGGGTCAGCTGATCAATTTCAATAAATCTTATATCTCTTTTAGCAACAATGTCAGGATAAGCCGAAGGCTGGAAGTTTGTGGTACACTCGGTATTAGGGAGGTGGCGAAACATCCTAAGTATCTTGGTCTTCCCACTATTGTTGGAAGATCGAAGAAACTAATGTTTGAAGAAGTTAAGGAGCGAGTAAGGAAAAAGCTAAAGGACTAGAAAAACAGAACCATGTCCCAGGCGGGGAAAGAGGTGATGATCAAAGCTGTGGCTCAAACTCAGCTCCTATATCCTATGATGGTTTTCTTGATTCCTGAGGGAACTATTAATGAGATCCAAAGAATGATATCGAGCTTCTGGTGGGGGGCAGAAAGGTAAAGAACCAAAGCACCATTGACTAAATTGGGATAATTTTTGCGAGGAGAAGGAAGTGGGTGGAATGGGGTTTACAAATCTTAGAGATTTTAATTTGGCAATGCTGGGAAAGCAGGTATGGAGTGTGCTCTCTAGGCCAAACTCATTGATGGCCAGGATGCTAAAAGCCAAGTACTTTCCTAGAACTGATATCCTTAATGCTAAACTTGGCTTTAGGCCGAGTTTCATATGGAGAAGTATCATGACTGCTATGGAGAAGATAAGGGATGGATTCAGATGGCGTGTTGGAAATGGGGAGTCTATTAGAGTCTGGGAGGACCCCTGGATCCCTGGCAAAAGCTACTATTATGCAGACCCCTTACCAAGTGATTCAAATCCAAATGAGATAGTTTCGGATCTCATTGATAAAGAGAGGGGGTGTCTGGGATCAGAACATTCTAAGGGACAAGTTCTCTAAACTGGACTGTGAACTTATTGCAAAAATTCCCGTGAGGAGGCCTATGATGAGTGACACAAGGGTTTGGATTGATGCGGATGATGGGAAATATTCAGTTAAATCGGCTTACAGGAAAATCTTTGAGAAACGAAGCCATAACACTGCTCAGGTAAATTCTATCACTAGCGAGGAATCTGAATTCTGGAAAGCTCTATGGAAAACCCCTATTCCTCCTAAAGTTCGGTTGTTTATCTGGAGAGTTGGGAGAAATATTCTACCTGTTGGATGCCGGATTGAAGAATGGTTTGAGGAGGCTTGTCCGGATTGCCCCTTTTGTGGGCTGCCTGAATACCAGACCCATGCTTTGCGCGAGTGTGGTTGGATTCGCCGCCAATGGGAAACCTGGGATGGGAAAGAGTTATTCGATATCAGGGAAGGTAAATCTTGCATGGAATGGTTAAAGGCGATCTGAAAAAATTCTCATATCGAACAGATTCAAAAGTTTTGTGTGGTTCTATGCAATGCAGTCAAAATCGGGATTTTGATCGTAAAATCGTAGGATTTTAGGATTTTACTTAGGGATTCCGATCCTGATTTTACTATAAAATCAATGGACCTTAAAATCGTTCAAAATCAGGATTAAAATCGTAAAATCATACCAAAATCGAGATTTTGATCCTATGTGAATAAAATAGGGAGCTTTAGCCAATTCAAAAGAAGCAGAATTGTTTCGGTGGAAAGGGCAATGACGGAGATCTTCTCATATATTTTTCCTATTAAAAGAACATTTGAAAAGAAGAAAAAAAAAACTAATTAGGGTTCGGTCAACCCCTTTCCCTTCTCCTTATTTAACTCATCGGTAAAACAATTGTCAGAATATTGTTAGTGCGTAAGAATTAACATCATTATTAAAAAATTATTTTACTAATGAATATATTTGTACCAAACCAACGACATTAATTATTTTATTCGATTTCAGTTATTCTTAGTTTTAAATCATGCTTAGTAGACAATGTCGGAATACTACTTTGAGTTAAACTATCTAGACACAACATGAAAAACAAGAGCCAAACCCCATATGCTTCCTCATAAATTATTTTGAGTTACACATTAAATAACAATTAAAATGATGAATTTGGAACATTAATCTTGAAAATTATCACTTTAAATGTTATAAGTCTTTGTGTTATTAATTATTTACCTTATTAATATTATCATATAATAATTTCTATGTGGTATTTAAAATCCTACAATTCTACGATTCGATTTTACTCCAGTTTTCGATTTTAGGTAAAATCCCGATTTTAACTGCTTTGGTTCTATGGTATTTATGGAAGGAAAGATGCAATCACCTCTTTAATAACCGCAAAACGGAGGAGGAACAGATTATTTCGAAAGCTCTGGGGTGGCTTCAAGCGTATCTGAATGCCCAAGACCCTCCCTCTGCGAATGGGGCGAGTAATCTTCAATCGCCCACCCAGGGTCCTTCTTGCGGCTGGATCAGTCCTCCTGAAGGTGTCTTCAAGCTCAACTTCGATGCCGGAGTATTCAATCCTTCTGGTGTGGGGTTCGGTTGCGTGATCAGGGATTGAGGCGGAAACTTTTCTGGAGCAACAGCGAAGAAGGAGCGAGGAATTTGCAGACCCATCGAAGCTGAAGCAAAAGTCATCTTAATGAGGCTGATCGAAGCCAACAGACGAGGGTTTAGCCCTCTCATCGTCGAATCTAACTGTCTGGCTCTCATAAGGAGATTGAAGGAAAATGTGGAGGATTGCTCGGAGCTAGGTGTCTGGTGTGAGGAGATAAGGAAGGTTGCGAGAGTAATCGAGGAGATGACATGTGTCTCTGTGAAGTGGAGTTTTACCCCAAGAAAGAACAATAGCTCGGCCCACTGGTTGGCCCATGCGATTTCGGGCTGGGATAGACAATATGTTAGGGTTAATAACCCTCCTCTGAATTTGCTTTGTCACCTGGAGGCTGATCTGGGTTATTTGGACTGTAGACCTTTATCCTAATTTTTGAATAAAAAGCACTCAGATTCCCATAAAAAAAATTCTCTGTCATTTTTTTTGTTGTTGATAAAATGGAGGCTGAAACGCAAAAAAATAGGAGGTGGCAACACCATCCCTTAGTCTCTTGTATTTTTTTTTTCAAAATTAACACTACTTTTCTCTCATTATTTCACTACCATCGTATTTTCATTTCCTTTAAATTTTTCTTCCATTTCCCTACCTTCGCCCCTCTTTCATGAACAAAATATTGTTGTTCTCTTCGGTGTCCCATGGCAGGCAATTCAATTGGTGAGTATAGCGCTTGACATATTAAGAGGTTAATTGGCCGAGTATTTTTTTTATGAATAATTGGCCGAGTATTTTCTCTATGTGGTCTAACCCTAATCCAATATGGTAAAGGAAAAGCAGTTACAACCAGTCCCAGAACAACAACCCAAACGTGTATCAGGCCATACACTGTGGATCAGGGGCGTTGCCCCTAGGGATGGCAACAAACCCGAACCCACGGGTACCCACCCTACCCAACCCGGTCAATGCGGGTAAAATCCGTGTTGACGGGTTATGGGTCGGGTTTGGGTTTAAACCCGTTCACTATTAATTGGGTTGGGTTGGGTTTGGGTTTAGGTAAACCCGGCCCATGGATACCCGCCCACAGCCATATAATTAATTTTCTCGGTATATTTAATATTCTAAACAACTAATCTTATTTATGTTTGTGGAGACATGTCTAATTTTTTCTTTTTAATTCTGTAGAATGAAGTTGATGTTATCGAGTGGAGAGTGAAGAAACTTAATTGAAAGGAAGAAGCTTTCAATTAATCATGTTATTTATGGATAATTTGTGATTTGCTTCAGTTTTCATTAGGACTGGGAAAATAGACTAGACCGTTAGAAAAACCGTGGTCCAAACCGTACCGCACAGTTTGGTCCGGACCGTAGACCGTTAAGTATGGTCTGGTCTGGTCCACGGTCTGTCTTATTTTATGTTTTGATATCTTGGTCTGGTCTGGTCTAGACCGCGGTTTACCGGACCAAACCGTTGACCCAACCAACTTGTCAATATGTGTTAACAGCTCATTCGACCACTCTCCCAACTCCCACAACGACACCCAAGTATCAACCTTAGTTTTGTGAATCACGTCCCTCCTTCATTCACAACCACATTTAACCAGAGAGTAGAGATAATTGTGTCTCCATATGGCATTATGTTAATGTTTATGACGTTATGGTGCAAGTTTGGATGCTTTTACTTTGTATCTTTGTTATGTACTAAGATTTAGGGTATCAAAATTATTCATGCATGTTAGGATTAATGTTTTAAGGCAAATAACAATTATTTCTCTTGATATTGGTTCAATTTTTTGTGTGGTCGACTGAACAAATTATTCATTTTTCGTTGAGTGTGGTCTATCTGGACCAGACCAGACCGAACCAGACCGCACAGGCGTGGTCTGGACCGGACCGCATAGTCTATGGTCTGATCTGTGGTCTATACTTCAGCCTCTCGGTCTGGACCATAGACCGTATATATGGTCTGGTCTGGACCAGACCGCACCGTTTCCCAGCCCTAATTTTCATGAGTTTTCTAGATTGGTGTTGAACAATTTGTATAGTTAATTTGTGATTTGCTTGAATTTTCTAGAATGGTGTTTTACATATGGATAATTTGTATTGAGAGATTGATATTGACTTTAATTTTGATAGAAACTTGTTATTGTAAATTTTTTA